GTCGGATCATTCACATCATATTCATCATCATAATCATCATCGTCAAAATCATCATCATCATCATCGTTATTATCATTATTATTATTAGAGTCTTTAGCAGATTTACTCTTCTCATCTCTCTTGCGCTTTTCTTCTTCCTCCTCGTTGGCTTTCGTAGTAGCCGTTGGGCTTGTTTGACGCAAGAATGATCGTCGTGCTAAAGCATACGAGTCCCGTGGAAATCCTACATCGTAAATAATAGTCGCCACACCCCCATTCTGTGCAGAAGAGGATGATCCCACCGTATTATTATTATTATTATTATTATTATTATTATTATTATTATTATTATTATTATCACTATTATTATTATTATTATTAGTAGTAGTAGAAGTACTCCCAGTCGTGGTTGCTGCCCGCAGTTTTTCCTCCAATTGTCTCTGGTGGTTCATCTCAAACAACTCCCGCCGCTTCGCCTCCTCTTTGCGCTGCATGAACTTCATGCCCCGCAGCACCTCCAGCGTCTTTGCCTTGTTCATATCTCCGAAAGCCACGGGGAGAAACTACGAAAGAAAAAATAAAAAAAAAAAACACAAAAAAAAAATTGATATTTCTACACCAAAGAAAAAATTATCCACGCCACTCTCCTCACGCAGTCATGTGATGGAGTATATAAAACAGAAACAACGAAAAAAAAAGGAAAAGAAAAGAAAAAGAGGAAAAAAAAAAATGCAAGTAACGAAGTGGAAAAAGAAAGCAAAAAGAAAAAAAGATTCATGCAGAAATAAGAAGAAAAAAAAGATCCACAAAAAAAGAAAAAAAAAAAAACAGAGGTGTTTGTATAAAACAAAAACAGAGATTAAGATAAAGAAAGAACTATATATATACCTATATACAACAAACATTTATTCATTTCAACGCTACGGCAACTTCTTTCCTTCTATCCCTTTCTCTCTCACTCTTCTTTTATTTGATTCAAGTTCCATCTTTTTTTTTTTCTTTTTGTCATTTTTCCCAAAAGGACAGGTATAACTCAGAAATTAGAGAACAATAGTGTTCCAGTCGTCGTCGTCGTCGTCAATTCTCCATTGTTTTTATTTATTTATTATTATTATTATTATTTTTTTTTTTTTTTTGAATCTCCTTCATCACTTTTTCCTTTTTTTTTTGTGTTCTGTGGTGAAAAAAAAAGGAGTGGAGTGCTTTTATGCAAAAAAAAAACAAAAAAAGCAAGAGTACACCAAAAAAACAAAAAAACAAAAAACAAAAAAAAATGGAATTTAATTTACATTGCTACCGACTGCCCTGCAGACGCGGTATGAAACCCTTTCCATTCACTGTGTCCCGCAGTTGTGTCACCGATCGCGCATTCTTGTAGGCTGGGAGTTGTCCTCTCGGTTGAATATTAAGAGGGAAACGAGTTGATGATGATGGCTGTTGTTGTTGTTGTTGTTGTTGTTGTTGCTGCTGTAGTGTCCGCAGTGTGGCCCCTGCGGCTCCATTCATTCGCACACCCGCCACCGCATCTACGGAGAAGGTGGGATCGAGCACGACATTATGTGGAGTGGAGAGCTCTGCGGCCCGCATTAACTCTGCCTTATCACGTTCCTCTATCGTCACTTCCTTGTGATCTAACATTGTTAATGCGGGTAAGGCCGCAATGGTTTGCGCACGATATGGAGTCTTGCGTGCAATAGCATTTCCAATGAATGTTACCTTTACTAAACAACAGGCATTTCGAAGATCATTCAGTAGTGCACGTAGATCACTTAATCGATTTGAACCAAGTCCTAACATTTCAAGACGAACTAATGGTTGAAGACCTTCTGTAGATCGAATATAATTTTCTTCTGCGGAGATATCTGTAAGTTGTAGATTATTCGCGAAACAATCAGGGCCTAGAGATCGAAGTTTATTATTATCTAATAGTAATTCCCGTAGATCTGTTAGTCCCTGTAAACCTTGATCGATAGACACAATTTCATTCCCTTTTAGGTTTAAAAATTTAAGTCGAGGTAAAGTGAGAGCCAATACTGTGAGATCTGTAATATGATTACTCTCTAATGAAAGAGACCGCAAGTTTTCCAAGTGTTGTAAGGCAGTTCCAACCGCATATTGTCCAAGTCTATTATGTGAAAGGTTTAAGGCGACAAGATTGTGTAATTTCAACAATCCGTCAAGTTGAGCTAGACAATTATGATGAAGATGTAATACCTGAAGACGAGAAAAGGATTCCAACATAATGACTTCACGTAATCCACATTGTGAGAGATCTACTTCATGTACACTTCCCCATTGACTGGATGCACCAACACGTTCTGCCAGCATTTCAGAGTTCACTCGACCAGAAAATACTTCCTTTGCCATTTGCTGTTCAGATTCACCAATGGGTATACCATCCAATACCTTTAACTTGGGAAGATTATAAATGATGTAATTACGGTACTCTTGTCGTTGTTCCGCAGATCCTCGACCCGCACAAGGGTTACCCACTGCATCCATAGAAAGAAGTCGTGGAAAATGACGTAGTGGGTATAAATCACGTACCTCACTGATAAGATTATCGGCAAAGTAAAGTTCCTCCAGAGAATTACATCCCTGTAGTGTGGATACATTCGTAATGGAATTTTGTCCTATGGAGAGAAAACGTAATTCACTAAGGTTCTCTAGTCCTTCAGTTCCAGAAAGTTGATTTCGTGATAAATCTAGTGATATTAGTCTAATACCAGCTAATGGTTTAGCCGATTTAATTAGATTATCACTTACATTTAATGTTCGAAGATGTCGAAGTTCTGCCAAAGGTGAAAGATCTTCAATAAGGTGAGATGACAAATTGAGGTGACGTAACTGCGGTAAGAGTGTAACAAATGAAAGACTTTGTGTAAGACTCAAACGAAAACAAAACACACGAGCACTCTTAAGAAACGAAAATGAGGAGGATGTTCTTTTTGAAGGTATAGGAACTACAGAATCACTACCTGATTGTTCTGCCATTTCTGCAAATACCTGATCAAAAAAACGAATTCTAACAACATCCCCATTTTTAATACTACCACTTTTGTTGTGTTTGTTATTATTATTATTATTATTATTGTTACTGTTATTGTTATTGTTATGGCTATGGTTGTTGTTCCCACTACTACTACCGTTGATGTTATTACTTTCATCATCCCCAATACTCAAGTATCTAGTAATAGATGCCTGATAATGACGTTTTTGTTCCTCTGATATGATATGTTGTAGTGTCATTTGATCTAGTAGAATTGTACGTTTTTTAAGAAATGTGAGGTATGCATTTCGTGAAATAGAGACACCATTAAGACATCTTAACTGTGGAATCACTGCAAAACAATAAATTTCAGCATCTTTAAGAACCATCCATGGATTGTGATCCATTTGAAAGTCCTCTAATAATGGCATATTTTCACGAACTTGTAATAAATCCTCTAGCATGTGAAATTGATTAAAACTAAGACAAAGTTTAAGGAGAGCAGGAAATTTTGCACTCCCAAGTTCCATTTGTCGAAGTTCATTATTACCAAGATCTAGAGTTTCCAATAAAGGTGCTGCATTCGCTAATGATTCCCATGAAAACGATGAAATATTATTATTCTGTAAATAGAGTTTCTTAAGAGATCCCCATAGGGAAGAAGTTAATGTCTCTGAAATGGAAGTAATTTTCTGATTGGACATATTACAATAGGAAGCTAACTCTGTCGCAGGAATAGATTTCATATTTTTTTCATAGTTTTCAAGAATATTATCATCAAGTATTCCATTTACATCAATAGTATTTTGTTTTAAATGGTATAACTCCTTTGCTCGTTGTACCACAGTTGCGGTTTCTTCAATAGCGAATAAATGAAAAGCATTTGAATTCAACCAGTTAAGGAAAGCAAACATTGCATATCCAACCGTAAGGGTATCATGAAGAGCATCTTGAGAACATTCTGGTACAGTCTTTTTAAGTAATGTTTGAAGTCCTGCTAAATCATCATAAATAGAAAGTGCTGGACTTACAGATAAATGACTTTTAGTAATATATGTATAGTCAATTACATATTCTGGAAGTAGTAAATACTTATCAAACATATGCCACACTTTAACAGATGTATCATGTGGAGATGTACGATAAATAGAAAATACCTCTTCACCGTAATGACGTCTGGTAATATTACGTTTATCACTCTTTATAAAAGGCTGTTCCCCACTCGCCGCAGGATCACGTCCACCACCCATCTCCGCTACACATTTACCTAAAAATAAACGAGATACAATAACTTGACCAGATAAGGCATCTGGAGGTAATGTATGGCCATACATATCATATCGCCCCTTATGATGATGATTTATCACCGATAATCGTTCTTGATCAGCGTAGAATAAACTATTAGTAAGAGGAACTCCCTCTTCTTCCGCATAAAGACCTGTAAAACCATTAATCATAATTTCATGAAGAAAATTACGTTGAGCTTGTAATTCGTGTGGTACAGGAGTAAATAATCTTACTAAGGCACGGCGATTACGTGTATCTGCAAGATCAATATCCAATTCCCGCATACGACTATCAAATCGTTCACGTATACCTTGACACATTATACGAAAAACACGATTTACCTTTACACCCGTTATTCCCATATTTTCATATAAATTAGCATCAAATCTTGTAGATAATAATTCTTTTGCATTTGTACACCAAATATCACTATCAGTTCCTTCTTCTATACGAATATTACCACAAGAATTAAGTTCTAAAGTAAGTCGTTCATGAAAACCATCACTTTCAAGTATTGTACGTTGAATAGCATCAAGTAAATAACGTTCAATTCTTTCAAGTTCTACTTCTCTTGTTTCACGAGCCCTTTGTAATTTAAACATTAAAGTTTCTTCTTCATCTTTCATTTCTCCTTCTTTTGTAGAAGTTTTTTGTAATTCATATTCTTTTGCTTTAATAAGTTCAAGATCTAATTGACGTAATGCTTGACGTGCAGCATTTCTTCTACTTTCAGTTTCTTGTTTTATTTTATCAGTAAGAACAGCAATATTTCTATCAAGAATAGCACTTCGCATACTATAATAAATGCATTTCTTTGCATAAACAGAAAGTGCAAGTGTACGTTGTTCTGAAGTAATAGAGACTCCATCTAATTGTTCCAATTGTGATAAGTGACAAAGTGAAAATGTAGTATAATTATTCAAGCGACAAACTGGAGCACTACCATACATAGGATCACTAAGCCAAAGATTACGTAATGACTTTAGTGTTGTTAAGTGTGTCAGTTGACCCAAGAAGTAGATTTGATTATTTGCCAAATTAAGTTCTTCTAAACGTATGGAACTAGTTGTAAAGGCATCTTCAAGTGATGCAATGCGATTAGAGGCAATCCAAAGAGATTTTAGTTTAGGTAATAAATTCAATCCAGTAATACGTCGTAATCGGTTACCGCAAAGCCACATCTTTTGTAGATGGGGAAGATGTGGAATTCCTTCCATAGATTCAATTAAATTTCCCTGCAAAAAGAGTTGTTTAAGTTGATGCATATGTTGTAATCCCTCAATTTCGCGAATATTGTTCTCATTAAGCCACAACTCCTCTACATGATGAAGATGGGAAAAACTTTCCATACTTTCCAAACCAACATGAATAATTTTCACAACCGTTAAGTATGGAAAAAGTCGTATTTCCCGTAACTGCGGTGTAGAGAGAAGAAAAAGTTCCATGGTGGTAAATTTATGTGGAGTCTGCAGGAAATCCTCCACTGTCCATCCGTTATTATCGCAAAGTAATTCCACAACTTCCGCCGTCTCGGGATCTTTCATCGCCTGTCGAATGGCATTTCGCAGATGATCCACAACCGTAGAGGAGACTTCCTCGTGCGGTGCTCCTATTGATCCCATTGCTGTTGTTGTCGTTGTTGTTGAGATGGAGCCTCTGGAGGCCGCAGCGCCGCCTAATACACCTGTCGTCATTTTTATGTCCAGTGTCTTCTCTCGCACGTATGCTGAGAGACTCGAATGAAGAAACAGTAATAATAATAATAATAATAATAATAATAATAATAATAATAATAATA